CGTGTCCGTGTCCGTGTGTCTGGCTTCATGTTGCTCGAAAGTATGCAGCAGCATTGAATACTTGGCATATTTTTACAATGCGCGCACATTTTTTCGCTACGTGCGCTTGCCTGGCGGCAACGACCAAAAGACGATGAAGAAGAGGTAGAACCAGTAGCAGAAGTAGAACCAAAAAGGGGAAGCACAAACGAAGGCGGGTCTCGCATTTCATGCGTTTTTGATTTTTGAATTTGCATTTCCATTCAATGTTCAATGCTTTCTACTTCTTTCTGCACCATGGTCGAAAAGTCTATTTTCTATTTGCAGAAAGCGATAATTTGTTTGAAATTCTCTTCTCCTTTCCAAGTATAAGTTCGTACAACCCTTCTCGTAGGATTTGTTTGTCGAACTTTATGGTACAAAAGTGTACCAAGTGCCAGCAATTTACCAAATCCTAATTCATATTCATAGAAATACTTTTTTCTAGAAAAGGTATTATGTATTATAATTCATTGTTATCATATTTTATTATCATATAAATTTCGCAAGGTAACCAACGCGATTAACTTTATAAGTAACATAGAAAATTCCACCCACATTTGAGGTTCAAAAGCCGTCAAACTTTTGTAGCAGAAATACTAACACAAATCTGTTTTTTAAATAAATGTGAAATGTAAATAGAGGCGGCAGGGTAGCCCGGGAAATATTCCCACCTAACTATAAGCAATTTAAATTACTTAAAGGTTCTAGCTACAAATATGGGTGTGTGAACAAATACTTAAAAGCTAATAATTACACTTATACATGGCCACAGTTTTTAGATGCGCTGTGTAGCTCAAATAGCAGACAAGGAACATGTTTTAATTGATTTTAAAATATACTTAAGCTCATTTTTCTCACCTGCGTCGAATCTAAATACCATTCATTGTGCTATATAGTATAATAAGAGCTTTAGACCTCCACTTGGATTTAATTTGTCTTATACATACCTACAAGTATGTGCCTAAAACATTTCGTCTATTACTTTATGTTTCCTTTTGGGTGTTACAAGCATACATACCGAAAAAATAACCTGAATAGACAGTCTATATAAATATACTTGTATCTATGACCAACAATTTCAAAGAACATAAGGAGAAAGTCTAAAAAGCATTGTCTGAAAAGAAAATGTGCTTTTTATATAACTTGTGTATGCATTTTGTAGAAAGTTTGTTTGTTTTGGATTTTTCCGACAGCTGCCATTATCAAACATTTCAGTGAAATTGTAACAAAATACTTACTATATATTTGAAAGCTGTCTGTCCCACCAATATAAAAGCCCAACTATGTATATTATATTCTGAGAAGTTAGCTCCTTTTAGGATGTTTTAACGGCAAACCGTTGCTTCACAACAATAAAGCCGACTTTTTGCGTCAATTCATAACTATAGATGATACACATGGGTCCATGACTTCACACATCAGACGAGCGAATAGTAGAAACAATGGACTGAAAGGAGTGAGACTCAGATCAGCTCAGTCATTACGTTACTTTTTTATAGCATGCATGTGGGTAATATTTTTTATTGATTATTTTCCAAAAAGAAAAACAACCAAAGGTTATTTCAACATTTAATTGTCTCACAATTTATTTTGTTTCCGTTGTTAGTTCCGTTAGTACTTCTGGGACTAATAAATTGCATCTATTTTATTTAATTGCGTGACACTAACGAAAATATAATATATACCCATATAAGATGTTACTTTAAAAAACAAATTATTTTTTCTATTCCCATCGTTTTGTTCAATTGTACTAATTAAATTTTTACATTAAATTATTTGTTATTTTTTTGGTATTTAATTATTACACTTTTCTATGTGATCTATAAAATGCGTTTTGTTCTTAATCGAACTTTTTTGGTTTTGTATTCGTTGTGTCTATTGTTGAATCGTCTTATTCAGCAGTTCTGATATAATAATTTTAATATCGAGAAATATATCATGGTAATTTTATAAAACTGCTAAATGATTTGTAATGCTGACCATAGTGCATAAACGATTTTTTTTTTTTTTTTGTGGGGAGTATCAGCTATGCGCTGGCCCACAATAATTATTCAAGTAGATGCCCCAATCCCAGACCATTGCTAGCTTCCAATCATTAAGGCACTTCACTTCAAGTATTTTGGTCGCTGGCTAAGTGGCGCTCAAGTCCAAGTGCGGAAGATGCCATTGAATATTCAGCAACCAAGCAGCAAACACTCGGAAGCTTGTTTCATTGGCATGGGTTTTATGAAACTTTGGCAGCCATTTATAAAAATGTTGCCTGGCCTGGCCTTTCCTTTTTATTTTAATTTTTTTTTTTTGTAATTTTTGTGACAAACATAACACTTTGGCAAGAGCAGCAGTAGTAGCAGCAGCAGTTGGCAAACAAATTTGAATTTATATTAATTTATTAGCATAGCAAAAACGCAGTTTGCCAGCTAAAAAGTAAACCAAAATCAACCACTAAGAAGTTGACAGCCACAGAAGTTACCCACCCCAACCTCCCTCCCCTCAAAAAAAGAGAAAAACTTCGAAGAAATGCTATATAATGAAAATGAAAAGTAATTCCAGCAATTTTAGCAATGAAGTTGCTAATTTGAAATGTAAATGGCTACGCTAAGCAGACTCAAATAAAAAAAGGATCCCCCAAAATAAAGTGAGAACCAGAATGTAGCCAAATGAGTTTCGGTCAAGTGTGGACACGAAATCTTATGGCTACATTAAATTTATTAATGCGTACATTTCTCAACTGCCATTTGCATACACTTGTGCGTATGTACGATATACGACTATATAGCTAAGCTTAAGCTGCGACTTCATTTTCTGTTTCAAGTGGCGCCTCAAAATATGCAGCACTTGCATGAAATATGCCCCACCGCTCTGCTGTGGTTGCCGTTGCCATGGAAAATTATGCAAATGTGAAGATAACTTTTCGTCCCAGCTATGATGCTGGTGCGCATCATGCAACGACATTTTACGCAAATATCAACCGTTTCAGTTGACGCAGCCACGATTTTGTCGGCATGAGACTTAACAGCTTGATATAAAGTGAAAATTCAGATGAAAATATGCGGCCAGTTTTTACTACTGATGGTCGCAACATGAGAAGTACTCGTAATTAATAGTTATTTATATTCTAGCAACTGCAACGCGTTGTATTACTGTGTCTATAAATCAGGGACCCATACAAAGTTGAGCAAATAAAGAGATCATGTTAAACTACCAACTACTGATTGAAACAACCCAAATTTTCTTAGAGTCTATTAGAAGAAGGGATCCCTGGTGTAGCATTTATGTTGTTTTTTTTTTAATAAAAAAAAATTAACTTTATAATGTTACCTGTCAAACGTTGCATGGTTTCCAATTGTATAATAAAACCTATGGAAAGCAGAAAACTTTTGTTTTCGGATTGAAAATTCCGGCTCTGACCCAAAAAAGCCAAACAACAAACAATCCGAAAGCCAGGAACTTTAACAAATGTGAGTGCATGCCACTTTAAAGCAAGTTGGTAATGGGGAATGAAGAAGTTGCTAAACGCCCAACGCTCTACCACCTACACACTCATAAAACGAGCATTAAAAGCGCACACAGCGCCGAGCATGGGCACAAATCCAAAAGGATTTAGTTTGCGCCACAGGAGCTCGGTTACTTCACGTCTATTGCGCCATCTTTGCATACGCACACAGCGACATCAATGACAGGCAGCAGCCAACCGAGCAACCTCTGCGCCCCAGCTGGTAACATGAATGGCTTTTTCATCCATCAAACATGGCGTCAAACGTCACAAGGCATGAAGCGTACGAAAAAAAAAAGGAAAAGGCAAAGGCAAAAGGCGCTGACAAGCAGCAGTGGCAGCGGCAGCGGTAACAGCAACCCCAGCCAAAGCTATTGTCGTCTAATGCCACAGCGGCATCGCACACGCCCCCAAACTGCCAACCCACAACTCACACTCGCACATACACTGACACACTCACACGCACACACCTCGACCAACGTGCCATGCATCACTTCCGTTGGCGCTGTGCGATGCGGCTGCCAGCGCCGTGGGCTACATAATCTTTCGAGCTTTATGTGCTGATGACTTGCTGAGCCCAGAGCACAAGCCGATGCACAGTGGCCCACTGTCACTCAAACCGGAAGCGAAAATAATAACAAACAGCATTCAAATTGCATTTCACTTATAAAAACTATATACATTAAATCAAACATCATTTAATTGTGAAATTGAGTATTTTAATTGAAATGTTCTAATTAATGTTTGTACTACAAAATCTTGTACTAATCCACATTTGGTCATCAGGGTCACATTCCGCATCACCATTAGTTATCCCAACAGTTTTCTTAATATGCAATTTGAGTAGAGCAAATTAATAAATTAAATTAAATTAATTTTAAAAAAAAAATAGCGTAAAGTCAAGAACATCATATAGATATGAGCCTGGCTGTATTCACTTAATTAACGAACCAGATTCGAATGTAATCAATATAGCAATTTGTTTATTACTAACATCTTGGCGAACGATGATCTTTTAAGCTGCTATTCCTAAAATGCCTTTGAATAAGATCAGTGCAGTTTGTATTTTTGATCCTACTTGTTGAAAAATTGAAAAATTTGTGCATAAGTCCCAGCACATAGCACAGTGGCCATAGTTTATTTCATGAGCTTCTTTTGCTGTCCGGTCCATTTCCTACTCTCGGAGGTGATAAGTTTCTTCAATCTGCTTGTGAAATAAAACAACATATAACGGCGGCAGTTGTATTTGAACCTAAAAGAATGCTTTTGTATTTTGAATTAAATAATAGTGGAGCGCCACCTAGCGGTTTAAGCCTAGGGTGTGGCTTGTGCGAGAGCTGAGTTTATTCGAGTCTTTACGAATCTGTGTAAGCGATTTACTGTGAATGCTACGACCACCAGCTGTTTTGTGCCACCTCTAAGTATTTTTGTTTTATTCTAACGCCAGTCCAATTGTCTGAAAGTTATTTCGTAATGTTTTAACATTTTTTTGTATATATCCAGTTATATTCCGCTCGTTAATTAAAATAACAAAAACTTTAGTAAAGAACAAATGTAGAAAACCGAATAATTCAGACTAATTCTGTGCCAGTGCCAATGTTATTTCGCCACTCCAATCATCGCCAAAGTCTCGGGACTCTCCCAAGCGGGGGCAAAACAATACAAATATACACATGTACATATTTTTCCTATATTGTATGCTATTTCTGTAAAACAGTTCTCAATAATGAATCCATTCAAATTACTAAATTTCTGTCGCAACAAATATAAAATTTCGACGGAAAGTTATTTTGTTGATGAAGGTGCGGGATAATTTCCCCCTCTTTATAAGGAAATGTGATATCCAAACACTGTCGTATAATTGTTTATTATTCAAATTGCTTAGTTATAAGCATACATGAAACAGCGGGTGTTTGTAGTTACGTAATGATTAGCCATTGCCATTAAGTGTTGTCCACAACCAAAAAAAAAACCCGTTTTAATCTGTCATATGACGGTTATACTTCCGTTTAAGTCTTTTACAGCCTCTTCCCTTTCAAAAGCGTTTCTTTCTTGTTGCATGTGTTTCTTTTTTGATAATACATTTTAAGTGGTCAGAATTTTTAAAGAGTTTATGCTTTCAGTTGTTACTGATACATATTTGTGTTGTCTAACAATGTTTTTGCTTCGCGCTTCCGTTTCATTCCGAATGGATATAGTTGTGGACGATTAAATCCTTCCGCTTGTACTGGCTGAGCTACAAAAGTTGTGAATAAATTTATAAATTTTTTATTTTATTTTTAGAAATAATGTTTAATAGAGTTATTTATAAATTTGCATTCAACTTACAGAATTCGAATTGTTAAGTAACAAAATAATATAAATAATTAATTCATTTACTAATAGTTATTGAACTTACTGTTATTGTTACTGGAATACTCATTTCCGCCACGCCTTTCTTCGGCTCGCCCAACACTATAAGCATTAGAAACACTTATTGTATTTAGATTTATATTGAAAATATTATTCATTCAATTGTCAGGTAACTTACTCGTGCCAATTACTAACTGTTTTGTCCCAGGTATTTGAACTATTTTGTTGTCTGCTGGTTATTATAAACTAATTAAAACTAGAGCTACAGGGAATGGTCCTTAAAAATTTACCTAAACGGGTCTAGCTTGGGTACATTTAAATTAGTCGTGTTCTCGTATAGCTCCCGATGCTGCCCTTGGGATACTTCATCGTTGTGGTCGGGAATGATATATTTACGTAGTTTGGCCAGTGCACGAGAAATGCGGGCGTAGCCCTCAGCTGGTGGGGCAAAAGTGCTGATCTCAACAAATAGATCTTTCTGCAAATGAGCATAGCGAGGGTCACCAGAGTCCCGCAACCCCTTCTCTTTGTTTCGATCACGCATGCTGTTGCGACCCTTGATCTCAATTTTACATTGGGTTTCATCCTGAAGATTGCGCAGACAATTACCCTTGGGTCCCAAAATCTTTCCAACGAAATTAAACTAAAATTGGAAGCATTAGAAGAATAGTTTTAAATGCCTAAGCATTTATTCAAAGTACCGTAGGAAACTGTTTAGACGGTATGAACACTTTCTGGATTATTTTCATTGGCCTTTGGTTATAAACATCAGCATGAACCTCCTGGCCTGGAATGCGACCGGTCATTTTAATACGGTCCACAGCTACAAACATCCACACATTACATGTATATAAAAGTACATATGTATGTAATACAAACATAACTTACCTTCATCTATTAATGAAGCGCACAATGGAAAGTCAGCCAACAGACGTTGACGTTCCTCTTCTAGATCATCCAAGAACCTTTTAGCTGCTTCTTTGAAGCGAGACTGCGGAGCTGGGTTTTCCAAAAGCTCACCTATTTTATTGTCCATATTAATGGTATTGACAAATTGTACACAAAACTGAAGTAGTGTAAAATAGTCTGCGAATTACAAAAACGAATGTTAGTGCTCTCTGACGCAGAACTGTTATTCGAATACTCGGTCAAGGCCTACTTTTTAAATATATGACAACAAAATTATAGTTTACACACTTCTGTGTTTTTAGTGCATTTGAATTTTCGGCTGCGTTAGGTCAGATCCGTCTAGAGAGGTCACAAAAGGGGGAGTTCCCACATGCACTGAGGGGTTTCTAGGGGCCTAACAATTCGGAATAGTCATTGGCGCCATTGACATTCATGCCTCTTCATCAACAATAGAAACTTGTGTAGAAATTTAGATTAACTAGCGATATGGATTGCGTGTTGGTTGTGAATGAATCAGTTCGTGACGAGAGAGTTTTATAAAAAGAGCGTGCTTATCAACGCAAATTTAGAGCAGTGCTGTTTATCTTAATTTTACAGGCCAAATAAAGATAAGACACTAATCAGAGACGTGTCCCAGGGGGACTAATATAACTCCAGACAAGCAGTAAACTAGTTGGCATGATGCCATCGACGGGTACGGAGCGCACAAAGCTCAGCGATGTAGGCACAGTTGAGGTACAGCTGGACAGTCTCAACTCCGGCCAGATGGGACATCAAAACACAAGCACAATAGCGCCACACAGGCATCGGAAGAATACATTCAAATCAAAAGCCTTCATTATAGCCGTCACCTTTTCATCTGTTCTCATATTGGCCATGTGCATTGGGTTTTTCGTGCACTATAAACTCGGGGGCAATCCAGAAGATGAGGACCAACGGTCAACATGGGATGTAGAACTTTCCAAAGAACAACAGACCTGGTACGATCGCGGCATGGAGGAACTGGAAGTGGCCATAAATCGTGAGATAAACCGTCGACGTGCCAAGAATGTTGTGCTCTTTGTAGGTGACGGCATGGGGCCAAATACAGTGACGGCGTCGCGCATATATGGCTATAAGGAAGAGGGTCTACTCGCCTGGGAACGCTTTCCGCATATGGGACTGCTGAAGACCTACTGTGCGGACAAACAGGTGCCAGATTCTTTTTCCACAGCCACAGCTCTTTTTGGTGGTGTGAAAACAAATTACGAGACGGGAGGTGTGGATTCGTCCGTCTCGTTGGCCAATTGTAGTGCCTCCTTAGACGAGTCGCATCACGTGCACTCTATACTGAAATGGGCGCAGGAGGATGGCATGCGTACAGGATTTGTGACGACGACGCGTGTTACTCACGCGACTCCAGCTGCGCTCTATGCCCATGTTGCAGATCGGCGCTGGGAATGTGAAACGGTGATGCCGCAATCGGCACTGCAGGAAGGCTGTATTGACATTGCGCGCCAGCTGGTGGAACTGCCGACGGGGCGTGGTATCAATGTGATCATGGGTGGTGGGCGTCAAATGCTTGTTTCCAATGTGACTGACACACCCGAGGATCCATTAGATACGTGGGCCGGCCATGCAACGGATGGCCGAAATCTGATAAAAGACTGGCAGAATCAGAAGAGCGGTGATGGCGCTCGTCATGCAATAATACAGAACAATGGCGAACTTCGGAATCTGAATGCCCAGGATGTGGACTATGTATTGGGTATATTCGCAAATGGTCATCTCAAATACGATCATGAGCGTAATCTTTCCGATACGGGCATGCCGTCATTGAGCAACATGACGCTGAAAGCTCTGGAGGTGCTGGGCAACAGTGACAAGGGTTTCCTTCTTGTTGTCGAGGCGGGTATGGTCGATCAGGCACATCATCGAGGACAGGCGCGCAAGGCTCTTGGCGAGGTGCTGGCACTTAATGAGGCTGTACAGGCCACGCTGACGCAACTTAAGGACCAGTTGGACGAAACGCTAATCATTGTGACGGCAGATCATTCCCACTCTCTAACCATCAACGGTCACCCTGAACGTGGAGCGAACATTTTAGGTCTGGCGGGAAATTCCAAGACTGAAGAGACGCCTTACACAACGCTGACATACGGAACCAGCTATAATGGCTTTCAGGTGGACAGCGAAACGTTGCAGCGCGTTAATCCAGCGCTTAGTGACACCACCGACTGGGAATACACACAGCAAGCGGCGATCAACACTAATGAGAATCTTCATGGCGGCTCTGATGTAACCATACACGCTCATGGAGCCATGTCCTACCTGTTTCATGGCGTCCATGAGCAGAGCTATGTGGCACATGTCATCTCGTATGCGTTAAGAATTGGACGATTCCGAGACAGCACAATTGCCGAATCACTGGCCGATTTAATTCCTCTGTAGTCATTAGTTTTCTAAAACCACCGTTATTATTTGTTCCTCAATTATACGAAAGCAAGAAATGTTAAGAAGACATTTAATATATACAGTTTTTTCTTTTTTGTTGGATGGAAAACTTTGAACTTTCTATTTTCTCCAATAAAAGAGAAGAGCAAGTTGCCACGCTATGTTTATGAAAACAATTTACTTATATTCGTGGATCCGAAACTCATCCATTTCGCAATAATCCTGTATATCCGTTTAAGCCATACAGATCCTGTACCAATATGGACACAAAAAATATTTCATTAAAAATAATTTTTTAAGTAAGACTAATTTCTTTTCTTTTTGCTCGATTTTAATCAAAAAGAAAGAACTCACGTTAACTGATTAATTTGTTATTATCAGCACCATTGTCAGCTAAAAGTTGAATTTCAACAAACTTGAATATATTGCCTTTGCGGCCATTGAAAACCAATCACGTGTTTTAATCAAAATTTGTGATAGCGATAATATTGTGTAAAAAATTCCACTTTATGACGTCCAGTGCAGATAGTTTTGCGTCAAAAGAGAACTACGAGCTACGAACTAGTTGCAAGCATCTACTATAATGTGGTGAATAATAGATAAAATTTTACATAGAAGTATCTGAACAAAATTTAGATGGTATAGTGCTAGCATAACATTGAAAATAATTATAATTATTATTATACATAATTACCTATATAGAAGCTTCTCTTACACGCAATGTATAATAACATTATAATTAGTTATAAATAAATGGCTCCTACTTGGCTAAACAAAACGTTTCCTGGAACTTTTTTAAGTTCAGATATATTGATCTATTGTGTTTTTTTTTTATAATAATTCAATGATTATTATGATAATTATGTTTTCATATTGTTATATATTATTGGTGCAACCCTGGAAAGAATCTTCTAGACAACAACCAGCACCCCAGACGCCTCAGAAGGATTTATCCCCCTTCGCACTTATTAGCTAGTATGGCCTGTCATAACCCAGCGAGCTAGGCGAATCGCAAAAAGTTAAGTTTGTTGAAATCACGGCACCATCATAATGACAGAACGCATGATTGAACAAATTTAACGGTGTTACCATACAATTTAAAAATGTTCCTATCTCCAGACCTTCAATTAAGATTGAAGATAAAAAATATTATTGCTATTGTTATTCCAGTTTTTCTTATTTTTCTTTTTATTTAAAACAGGTATTATGTATGTATATATTGAAATTAACAGTTGTAGGTTGATGGTTATTTTTTAATGTTTTTTAATGATTTATGCAATTTTCCCAAAATTGAACCCCTCGAAGAAATACAAAACTCTTCAAAATACGCTTTTGACTCAACAATAAGGTCTTTATTTGAGCTCAATATTTATATAGAACTGCTCATCAGCCAATACAATGGTAGAATAACAACACAATTCATTTTTGTTTTGTTTTTTTTTTTTTTTTTGGTATTAAGTGTTACTGCTAGTTAGTATTGTTTAGCCACGTCTGTACATAACTATTATAGACTGACATTTTAAGGTTGAGAATTGATCAGGGCTTGTGAAGAAAGGAACGTTCTTTATTAAGCAGTTATCAAGTACAACAAACAAGTGCATACTCTTACAGTTATCTATATTGTTGAGATATCACCAAACTGTCAACTTCTTCAGTAATGTCCCAATCGACTGACTTTAACATATAAATTAGTTCACGCTTTGATTTAAATTTGCTAAATGAATATGCTAAAGGTTCTTCGTGGAAGCCAAGCCAATTTTAAATCAGTTGTTCTTTGCTGAATGCAATTAAAGACAAAATAATAAGGAACAAATTTCATTTAAATTTATTATAAATTTGTATTATTTCTTTTTTCATACTAACAACGAAATGCAGTTCTGTGTTTTAAAATTGCCGCTGCAACTTCTTGATGTACTGTGAACCACTGTGTGATGCGTTGTTGTTGCCCCTGTTGAGGTTGAGGTTAGGGTGCGTGAGTGTGTAAGCCTGTGTGCGTATATGAGTGTTGGTGGGTTTACTGCGTGTTTGGTTGTTCCGAAATGTGCTGAGTCGGTTTTTGTGCTTGGTCGGATTTTCTACACTTTTGTTGGTCGCCCGTTGTTGTTGTTAGCTCAGCATGTTGTTGCCATCTAAATACATAGACATATACGCACACACACATACATGCACACATAGACCTGCATAAGCATAGACATTCATATAATGCTTGTAATATTTGCGCTTAGCCTTTGGGGCGATTCTGCCCGACAGCCTGGCAGGCTGGGAGGGCTTTTAAGCAGAGTCAGTCAGTCAGCAGTCGCCCCAAGTGTCCTTGGGGTTTCGCTGGCGTTTCACAGTTGAGTTCAAAATGTTTATTTTGTTGTCCTTAGGTTAGTCGTTTGCTCATTTGTGCGACCAAGTGAGTGCCCACCCTCTGACTTTTTGTGCTCTTTCCTTCCACCATCTTACTGTTTGTATTTTTTTTTCGTTTTCTTTTCTGTTTTTTTTTTTTTTTTTTGCAATGTTGTGTGTGTTATTTGATTTTAACTGTTTGTACATTTTGTGCTGTTTACATTTCTCAGGAATATCTAGTCCGTGTGCCTTCGGTAAATATCCTTGATCCATGTGTAAACAGCATTGGAGCAGTTTGTGTAGCTTTTGAGCAAACGTTGCAAGTGCGCTTTAGCGCTTCTTTTAAAGATAAGCTGCAAAGTAGACTTTTAAAGACAATCGCCATATTTGTGCTTACTTGGCGAAAATTCAAAATGAATTCAGAAAGCCAAACCACAAAAGCTACAGCCAAACAATTGTCAAAGCATCCTGGAATGTGAGTGTCCATCATCCATAAAATATACTGCTGTATTATAAGCATAAGTATGAATAGAGTGCGTGCCACACAATGCCCAGCAGCGCTACCAACGATGATGAGCAGCTCATAAATCCTTTAAGAGCGGCTTTAGAGCGGACTAAGCTTAATGGCCAAGCTGCCAAGGCTGCACCGAAGCAAACAAATAAAAAAGTATGTCTAGAAAGAATTTATGTTAAGTCCGTGTGGGCTTTAAAAAATAAAAATAAAACCAGAGCAGTCAACGCCAACGCCATGAAAATCGCCTGCTGGGCCATGACGACAGTAAGCGTCATCGCAACTGTGACGATGACGTGTGCGGCCACGTCTGGGGGTTGAGACCGCCCGCCTTATCAATACTATCTACCATCGTGATAATGTCTAACGACAGACCCAATCAAAAAGACAAAGCCATAAAGCGCTTTGCCAACTCTATTTGTCTAGTTAACAAAAGTATTTGTTGTGTGCCTCTGCTCTACTTGTATTACCTGCTGTGCGAAGCTAAATTTGACAATTCTGCAATGTTTATGGGAAACCCTGGCTGCAAATTATTCCTCACACAGCATGCATTTCAACTTTTGAGTTGCAGTCATATATTGATTCAAATAAAAATTCTACATACTTTAATTTAAGTGTATTTAATTGGTAGACATAAATTATGAAAAGCATGAATATACCAGTATTATAAAAGTGTTTAATATCATCTAAAAAATAGCTTTTTTATAAGTTATAGTGCGGATACTTAGCAAATAAAAAACTACTATTCCACAATAAAATCTAAAAGTAAATAAGCATTAAAGAAGAGGTGTTGAAAGAAATGCAGTCACGCTGAAATCTAACATGCTCTAATGATAACAAAACAAATATTGTCAACAACATATAATACATATAATACAACAATAAAATTTTTTATTGTTTTAAATAATATATTAAATGCGACAACTATCATCACATATTCAGATTCAGATAAAAATGTTTAAAAATATATCTATTAAAATTTGTATCTGCACTAAGCAGTTGTATTTATGGTTTGGATGAAAACCTGCGAGGAAGCAACAAAAATCTGGCAGTGGTTGGCTCAATATGGTTAAAGTAGCCTGAAAAAGAGCGTCTCTGCTCGTGACTAACAAATTTACATTCATCATGAATCCACATTTATTAAAAACATAAGTTTATTGATTAAAATAAAATGTATATAAAATTTAAACATTCGTCTGGTCATGATTAAAAGAGTTTTACATTCATCATTGAAAACTTAAGTTTACTTATTACTATAAAATGAAATTTTTGTAATATTTAAATAATCGCCTGTGATATTTAAAAACACAACCATTAATAACCAATCTCTCAAGATAATCGTTTGTAGCCTAAATGTTGATAGAAATCGTTTGTTTATGGCTTTGTCAGGTTTTGCATAGTCGTTAACGTATCTTAGTGTTTCGCGTTTCCATGACATCCAATGTAATTTAATAAAAATCTCCACTTAACTCAAACGTTCGAAACTCGGGCAGATCATGGATTTTTTATCGTATCCATAAAACTCGGCACACAACCCCCTCCAACTTAACTCTGCGAATAAGATTCCCATGCACATAATGCTTTCAATTGCCGAAATTTTTGTCTAACTCCGCACAAATCCTTTAATGACAATAAAAACAACCCAGCTTTCACGCACACAGCACACACCCATAAACTGACTATCTTAGTTACCCCCAGTACCCCATTTGTACCCTCAGGCCGTGTTTCTGCTCCCCATACGCGCATACATACGCATGCTCTTTTTTATATTGTTCAGCCATAAACTTTCATTATGCCTTAAGGTAAATTATTTTATTTATTTTTTAGGCCGGTCACCAAGTCAGCCGCACAACAACAATAACGACAACGACAACAACAACAACAAAGACCATGGCTTCTGGTCAGCTTGGCATTATTTTGCGTTATTTTGTTGCCACGCGTCGTGCCTCGAGCGCCACCCACGGCGCACCCTGATGCCCACATTCTCCTTTTTTGTGCAATTGGCCCAGCGGCATAAAAATCGCAACAATTTGTAATGCCAAATATTTTATTTATTTCGCCATTGCCGACTGCTTTTTCGCTGTATAAATAACTATATATATATATTTTTTTAGCTGTGCCTACACGATTAGCTCAACAGGTTCGCAAAAGCCTGAAGTCGGCGGGTGGTCGAAAGTGCGTTGCCTGGGCTTTTTGTCTTTATGCGAATTTTATGCCCACGAGCCTAACAACAGCGACAAAAATCCAACGCGAGATAAAAAAAAGGAAACAAAAATAAACACAGTTTTCCATTTGTATGACAACAAATCTGTGCATATAAATGTGACTAAGCCGCTCAACAAATTTACACACTAGTGCTACGAATACTATTTATAAAAACAAAAATCATGCCAGTTACTAATAGAATAATTCTGCATAGTTATTTGCATTCCGTCTGTTCCATTTATTTTGAACCATCTTTCGATCTGCCCTTTAATTCTCATTTCATTCTTCATATCGTCATTCAAGTTTTGTTTAAGAATAACAGTAAATTTCCATAATGCTTTTAAATAAACTAAAGAAAGTGAAGCCAAACACACCAGTAATTTAATTTAATGACATATTCATTGAAACTATGAGATCAACGAAACCGTATTTCAAAGCTGAAACTCTGTTTCTCAGGTTTTTCTTTAAAATTGGCTGATTTTTGATTTACGAGTAGCTCATTTGCAATATGAGAGAAGAGTCTTAAAACAACCGATAGTAGATGTGATTACTAATACTATGTATAAAATATACCCGAATGGTATGTTTACATCATGAATATTAACGTTTATGCTAATCAATTTCTTTTATTTCCACAATCTTATTAGTCTGGCAACTTTTAAAATACCGTGGAATAATTAACTGAACATATTTATTGAAAGAATGCTCAACGTATTGGGAAATTGAATTTTACCTTCAATTTAATAAAGCATTCACGCACATGCGCGAAAACTGCTGCTTCATAAACGCTTCAACAACTGACAATTTGAAACTTAATGAACATTATAGCACATTTGTCTATTAGGGAGGCATTGATTAGCATTTAAGCGCGTGCAACGCTCATTTGTTGTTGTCGGGGGGCTCCATTCACACTTGTAGGCGCGTGCAGCAGAGTCTCCGCAGGGTCACACAGTTGCAGTGGCACAAGTGCATGCCATGCCACATATGTCGCGCTTAATTAACCCCAAACAATTTCAGCTGCGTGAATCTTTGTGTGTGTGTGTGTGTGTGTGGGTGGGCTCTGACAGACATACACGTGCATGCACACATACACACATTTCGCATATGCAAACAATGCTTGCATTCTCATTCATACAAAAACACAGAACATACTGCCACACACACACACAAACACCTAGTCGAGGAAGCGCGAAGCTCTCGGCACAGTGGCCCAAATTAATCTTTGTCATTAGCAAGAGCAAGAGTCAGGCGCCACGAGCGTGGCACCCACTCTGGTGCCACACAATTTTGAGTTGGCTGAAAGATATGGCAATGACAGCTAATACTAGAAACACTTTCAACGCCCTGAATAGAATTTCGATATGACTTATGCCTAAGGGGCTGAAGGAGACAGTCCCATAAGTAAGTGGAATCGAAGGAAAAGTAACAACTTATGCAACAAAAGCCTTTCATCATTGATGTTTTAAATCATTTGCAACAATTCCCTATTTACTTTACACTCGACTACAAACTTCTTAATTAACAGATTGAAGGTAAGTACTATATATAGTATATACCAATAAATCTTTGTCTTTCGAGTTGCTGGGGAAGTCATTTCACAGGTTTCTGAGTACCTTTCAACAGTATTTTATTTTATAAGAAGAACATAGGTTGACGTACACATTGTTCAATAAATGTTCGAAAAGTAACATATTAGTGGAAATCTTTCATTAGAAAGAAATGAATGTTGTATAGGCTGCTAGGAGTACGATGCCTTTAAAGCCTCAGCGCAGTAAAAACATAAGCTTCCCTCAATAAATACATGTTCTAATTGAGTTTAATCGACAATTTTCACTACAATTTGTAAAAACACTTTTGTGTGTGTACTTGTAAGTTGAGTGATTCGTTTAGGATTTGAAAACTACTTGTATAATGATATCTATATTCTAAGAATAAGGTGCTGAATTTAAGAAATGTTATCCTGTACTACAATTTTCCCACAGATGCAAACGAACGAATTCTTCACATTTCACTTGGTATTAAGTCAACGCCTAACTATATCTTATGATTTGGGAAAACATGAATGTAAAAGAATCAATCATCAATTTGAGAATATGCCATGACTTTGCCACCAATCCAAAACGACAAAAGTGTAATTATTTATTTTGTAGATAGGGTTCTATGCCACAACGCTTCTTTTTTCTCTTTACTTTTAAATTCCCTCCACAATATTACAGCTGAGATAAGCTGATAACAGCGCCGTGTGCAATGTATTTGCTTTGTCGCTATGTTTATCAACATCAAACAATTGGTCAACATTGATAAACGAATGTATGGACTTGTCACACGTTTTGCACACGAACTGATAACCCACACTATGTTAATGTTCTTTTGCAAAATTTCCATGAATGGAATGAGTGCAATTGCGCTCGTCTTGCTTGTAAAAACACGCTTTGAATGCCTATAAAAGCTGCTTTCAGCGCTTCGGTAACCAACAGTCAAGCTAATCAAAGCGTTAAAACATTTTGGCAATTGTGTATCTTTTCAAAACATTTACCACCAATCATATCTAAACAAAATGGGCTGCAAGGGCTGTGGAAATAGTAAGAATTAACAACATACTAATAAACTTAAAAAATGTATTTATTATGCCTTTTCTGTAATTATAGACTGCAAGTGCTCGTCGCAACAGTGTGGCGACAACTGTGCCTGCAACAGGGACTGCAACTGCGTCTGCAAAAATGGTTCCAAGGATCAATGCTGCAGCAAGAAGTAAAGAGTACACACTCCCGAACAATGTAAAGTAGCTGATGGGCCCACCATACCTAACAGTATTAGCACATTTCACAATTTGTATAACTAAAATGCAATAAATATATTTGGTTTCAAACAAATATGGGCTTATGTCTCAAAACTAGCCAAAGATCAATTTAAATTTGACTTGTTGACGATTGGTTGATTACTTTTTTGTTACTTTTTAATTTAAATGATGCCTTTTTAACTGTCGGATATTTACATTCAGAAATTTTAATTTCCCAAGGAGCTCATTCAAAACTATATAAATCAATCGAAGATTTTTGTATATTAAAAAGGTATTCACCAAAATTGTATGTGAGTCGGTTTCGTTTTAGAATAGACTGTTTTGCATATCGATGAGCGATCAGAACTGATTATGTTCTAATTACTGACCTAATATAAGTAGGTATTCCTCAACTCATTGCATAGATGTGAACATTACTTAAGTTTGAATAACATGAAAGAATTGTCTAAATTATGAATAGAATAATTCTTTTCTTTTTAATTTTATTTTCATTAAAGCTTAGTAACTTAAATTAGAAAGTTTAATACTTTAAGCAAATAAATCTATTAATTGCAGTATGAAAGATCATTTTTCAACCGAAACATCTTTGAAGAAAGGAAAAATCATGATGACTGCGTATATATAGTACATAGTATTTGCTCGCAACTACAGCCATACAGTGATTACGGATCGTAAAAAAATTGGCACACATAATCATAATCATTATTCCCATTAACAACAGCAAACCTAGTAGGTCTTGGTGGCAAAGAGAGGGTGGGCGCTTAAGATGCCAAGCCAGGCCAAAAGTGCGAGCATAATATGGACAGCTAAGTAGCCCAGAAGCAGCAACAGCAAAAACAAGAACAACATTGTCGACGCTGCCTGTGCGAAGTACTAATTGTGAGTAACACGTTCACGTTTACAAAACTTTCCGAGAAATTTCGTTGGAAAACACCATCCAGTCAGCCAGTCAGCCAGTCAGCCGGGCAGGACAGAGAGGGCGCCACAGACAACGCCAGTGGAGCGCTAGACGAGCAGCCAAGCAGCCACTGCTTAGACATTAAAGTTTTGCGCGAACATTTAATAGACCGAAAATTCATTAAACAAAAGTTTAAAGTGTCGACGCTCTCCGACATTTATCAGTCATTAACACGACCGACAAACTACATAAGCAGCAACAACATACCCTGGACAATTAAAGTGGCTCTGGCTAAAACTTTAATTTGATTTAACGTTTTTACAACATCGAAAATCAATAAATTCAAAATGACTAGCATAAGGATGGGGAATAAAATGTCTAAGTAAAGCAAAAGAAGAAAAAATATACCAGAAAGCCAGCCATAGATTTACAGCTAGAGAAAATCTGCTCTGGGGTTGGTTGCCATTATTTTTTGTTCAATTATTGTTGTTGGCGCGCACAAAGCGGCAAAGCAAAGAAATCGCTGAGCCAAACATCCTTTTGTCAATACAAAATACTCCCAACAACAGCAAGAACATCAACACAAGCCATAATAAAAATAAAATCAAAAACAAGCTCACAAAGACAAAAGTCAAAAGTGCAAAACCAAAAGCAAAACAATCAGCAGCGCCCCACAAAACCAGAATAAGATAAAATGAGAAATAAAAAAGCAAGGCGCATGCGCCTCGCTAGCGAATCTCACAAAGCGGGGAAATGGCAAATGGCAGCCTTTAATGGCTAAGGAACACAGGAAATGCCGTCACTCACACACGCACACCAGTCGCATAAAATGGCGCTTCTCTTGAACGAAAACACACACACACACACCCATACTATACATATGTATTTGGCGTTTCTCCTCCATTTTGAGAAAATTTCCTTCCTCACCAGAGGCAGCAGCCTCCGTCGCATTTGGACAGCAAAGCGAAGCAACTGATTTTTAACAAATTTCATTAACATCAGAGGTCCGTAATCATTCAAGCATCGCGTTTCGTAACAAGCCTGGACGCTGGCTAACCCATCTAAGACCGCTTCCAATAACAGCGACAATTAATGCACACAGTTCTGGCCAAAATCTGCATACCGTAAACGAGTTAGCGTGAAAAGTGCCCCAGCCATAGACGAATAAATTAAACGTTTTAGCTCAACCCTACTTGTGAACTCGCGCTAGTTATGTAATTGTAAATCGTTGTAAACGTTACGCGTGTGTGCTATTTAAAACTATAATAACTAACAATACTAATATTAAGAATGATCGACGAACAGCATCCAATGCAAATTGGAATGTGTAAGTATCCATGATTGAAAAGCAACTTATTGTTGAAGAGCTTACAAAATGTATATTATTTGTAATGCACGTAAAAGCCGACGGCATTTAAATGCTGGGATTAACCGACGGCTTTTGCTGTTCGGTATAACATATTACTAAATCATACGAAATCCTACTATTTCTAGCAGAACTAAAGCCCTTTTTGGATGTGTTTCAGATTTTAATTTGAAATAAAATAGTGGTGCTTTCGGTAAATTGTTTTAATTTTGTCACAGTTGTGAGGCTCAGTATACTTACTTTAAAAAAAATAAACAGGAACCAAAAACATGGTTAAACAACGCCTCGTTAAATCAAAACTTTTGCAATCCTCTTTTGTACATCAAGTTTCTTTTTAATTAGAAACTCTAGAACTGAGGCCATTGAACATTCGGATTACCATGAACATTTAAAACGGACTATTAAAATTTGAATGCCATTTCATTGTTATTTCAAATCCAACCTGCTTTTTACACTTTAACGCATTCTCGCTAAAATTTAATGCGGTACTAAATCTAAAACGGAACAAACACCACGCTATCTAATATCAAAGCAAAATCTAGGAATTGGAAAAAACCCTTATTGGGGCTATATCAGTCATTTAGAAATCTAACTTGTACTTTTAAATTCGAGAACATTTGGTTATAAATGTTGATATACACCCTTAAATAAAGTAATAAATTTCATTTCTAGTACGGGTATATATACTAGGAGTATATTGTAACTATATAGTTTTACAAAAGCAGCTAATCAAGTCGTTAAACAATATTTTCGTTTAAAGCACAATATGGATTAAAACCATATCCATCTTATAAAAATATAAAGCAGTTATTCTTTAATTATAGAGGTTCTGCTAAATTTATTTTAAAATTTTAATTGGTTTGAAATTAGACAATCAATTGCTTTAGCTTGAAAACATTTTAAATACTGATACATGGCTATCGTCAGGACTGAGATGACAAGATCCGAGTAATGTTGTTCCTTAGGTACCACTACTTAAGTCTTTATCTTAATCTTATTATTTAATTTGGCCAATGTGCGAAGTTCAAATCTTTAATTATTTTGACAATATGAAAACGAATTTCTGCTTTTGCTCTTCATCTTTCTTGTAAGCGAGATAGTTTGAAAATAGTCGCGTTTTATTGTCTTTCTTTTATGACAACAATATTAAACTATATATGTACGAGAATATTTTATTGGTGAAAATCATTTATATTTTAATCAGTCACATTCGTATAATTAATTAAAAAAACCCCAGAGTGCAGTGTGTTGTCATCGGTTAGGAAATGAAATACAAATTAGTTTCTAACAAAATGTTTTGCATCCAAATTATTCATTATTTATGTTCAGTTCTAATTCTTTTTATTAAGTATTTATGTATTGTAAAGCGATTGAATACACCATTTCTAAGTAAGAAGAAGTGGTGTATCACACCATTAGGGCAGTCTTAGTAATTAATATAACGATATAAGAACGCTTTAATACACGCACCATTAAAATCATTTCATTAAATGCTTAAATCATATCTTCGAATACCAAAATCCTGTTATATTTAAAACGAGTACCGTAAAAAATCGGCACAGGCTACTCTGCCACTTCCACTCGTTTCAAGTGGCAGTTGCCTGATAACATGTACTACAAGTATAGGAAAATATTTCAACATATTTTCCAGTGCAATACAAATTTTGACTTCTGTCAAAGATTAGACCAAAACAAAGCAACAAAACGGTGCTATAATTTCATTGTCTACCCAAATCCGATTAAATAAAACGGCAGTCGCCGGCAACCACTCGGCAGCAACTGACAAACTGCCGGCACCCAAAGAACGCACACACAGAACACACAGCATCCTGGCAAGGGTTTCCGCTTAAGACTGCCAACATATGCCGCCAGTTGCCAGCCGCTGCACCCAACATAATGAGCGCCCCCGCTTCCCTTCGCTAAGCCAGCATAAGCATATTTTGTATGCCAAAACAGGGGCTGTTGGAATGAGGCAGGGCCAGACCCAGACCCAGACCCAGGCCCAGGCCCAGGAGGTTTAAGGGTTGAAATTTTCATTGTTGATTCATTTAAATGCCGGCTAAGCGAGTCACGCACACAACTACTCGTAAATTCTTTTATAATTTAGTTATAAGCGTTGCAAAAACTGCTGGGTGGTGGTTCTCGCCCCCCTCATTTTCCACTGCAGGCGCGCACACACACACACAAACATATTAGAATCTAATTAGTGCAACTCGTCTCAATGTCAGCTTTGCACTTGCCCGCTCTATAAATTCAAACAAGTGCAAATCCATTGATGGCATTCGCTGACATGTCTGGCAAATCTGCTGGCATATTTTCGGCTTTGATGAATTTCTGTCCGCAGACAAACGCAGCTCAGAAGGGCTGGACAAAAGTGTAACAGGTGTGGCTGTTAAGCGGCTTAACTTGACTGCATGTACATAGTTCAAAAGTAACTCCACACTGAGGCAACTGCATGTAAAGCTCAGCTAAATATGTGATAAGGGATACAAAAACGAGTGGGTAGCTACACCAAATGGTATTGGCAGCTAAAGCGGATCTTTGATCTTTAATTATAATAGTATTAAGATCAGACAGAACCCCTAACTGGTGATTCAGTTTAATGTAAAGCCGAACAGAAATCAACAACCAAATGACCTCGGAACTGATAAAGAAAAGCCAACATCAAAAATCTGAAAAGTTTCTAGCCACCTATGACTGTCAATAATCCTTCTGCTTGTAATAATACTCTTTAGTAACAAAGTTGTGTTGTGATGCAAAACTATTGATAGTAAGAAAGTAAAACGTACTCCCGTGAAAAGGATTATTTATTATCCTTGCTTGTTTCTTTTAAGCAAAATGCTTCGAAAATGTGTGAAAATGTAAAAAAGCAAAGCAAACCTTATATTGCAAGTAATATTTCTCATATATTTTAAATTCACTCACAAAGAAATCTTTAATATTTCTTTAAGATCTGTCCTAGGTAAGAAAATTATTAAATTTTGATGATTGGTCTGGAACGAACTCTCATTGCGGTATCCCTCCTAGCTCGTTGAGCTATGCCATGCCCTACTTAACAAAAATTATGATTTATTTTGAAAGAACAATTATTTTGAAGATCTTAATGGCTTCTTTAGATTCATTTATATAAAAATCAAATAAGCACAGATATAGGATATACATAGATAGATATTAATACCCGTGAAGCCTTGACACGAAACAAAATAGAGTTTATTTCAATTATTTTTTTCTTTTTCCCAACAAAAGAGAATAAATGAAATGAATAAGTTGAAATTGAATTGAATTGTATGCATATCATTACTATTTTTACCTAAAATTACAAAGAAAAGAAGTTACAATAAAAATATGGTTGGAACACCATTTGTAATCTATTTGGTTTCCATATATTTTGTTCTCATGAGTAAAGAAACGCGTACATTATAGCTATGTTTAAGTTGTTAGTTCAGGAAGTTGCAAAAAAAAAAAAAAGACGGATCAGTTCAACTTATTCGAGCCTTTGAATCTGAATTCTTAAAAGAATAGCATTTCTGTTATGTATTTATTTACCAATTTATTAAGCCAAATTAAAGATGTAGGAAATATTAGAGTGCATTGAGATTTCAAAGAATTACCTGCAATTTGTTACTTTTAGGTCAGCTCATGTAAATAAAATTTATTGCCTGCCCATATTCCGAAATACCTGAAACTCTGCCCCTCTCTTCCTTTAGCACCAATCTGAAACCGCACATGTAAAATTTACACTTAAGCCGCAAAACAAAATGTTAATGTAAATTATGTCAGCATTACTTTAAAATTCTGCACATATTTCTGGCATAAATGCGCACGCCGCAAACATTTTTTGGTGAAATGAAATAAAATGGCGCACATATATGTATACACATACATACACATATGTACATGTGTATTGTACGTGAAATTATTTAAACAAGTACAAAATGACAAACGCAAAATGCCAGGCGATGCCACAGAGGACACTCATATGCAGACAAACAGACGCACATAAAGTACACACGCACACAGAGTATTTAAAAATGAAAATAACAGCAGTGGCAACAGCAACAAAACAAAATGAACGTCACACACACACACACACATGTATACATAAACACAGACAAAGGCACACAAATTAACGTACAATTTCAACAATTTGCCATAAATTGAGACAACAAGCAACAAAAAGGCAACCAACAAAAAGAGCGACCAACCAGCGAGCCACCAAGTACAAATAACCACAAATGTACAGTAATTTTTTGCCACAGACACACGCACACACACACAATTACAACACACAGAAACACACTTGTATTGCGTATACGCAACATGGGCGTTTTTGCATGGCTCCTGGAAAAGCAAGTGCGTGGAATTTCGAGTGCGAACACACAGACACATTTGGAAAAGTCATTTCAATAATTGCAAAACCACAAATTTACTACAACTCGAAATGGTCGCACAGTCACACACACACACACACACACACACACACACACACACACACGCATACACACATGCACATATAAATCCACACACAATTGTAGTAAAAGTCGCAGTTACCGCTGGTCACCACAATTACAAAATCCCACCCAATTCAACAGCATTGTGTGTGCCATGCAGTAGTGCTTGGCTGTAAATTTGAGGCACTTTGGTCACTACTCACCAACACACATACACACACACACACACACACGCACACACGCACACATTTCCGTTTACAGCGCCGCAATTTGCATGCCAACGTGAAAATAAAAATAACTGAAATGTTTCTCATTTGCATGTTGGGGGACCTCTGACACAACCGCAAAAACCAAAATAGTTCCAATGGACATCAAATGTCAACAGCAGCAACATCCGCAGCTACAGCTACAACAGCAGCAACAACTACAACATGGGCAGCAACATCAGCAGCAGCAGCAGCACCAACACCCACAGGCCAATGGCCTTGTTGCAATGTGCCACCACAATCAACTGCTGCTCAACGGAAATGAGCGCATGTTAACAACGGCAGCAGGAACTGGAGCTGGAGCTGGGACAGGGGCGGGAGCAGGGGCAGCAACAGTCACAGCTACACCAACTTCAGCAACAGCAACAGCAACATCACCAGTCAACAAGTCCAGCGAACTGTCAACAGTTGGGGCTGCAACAGTGGCAGGAGCACCGACAGTTGCCCACAATGACAAAATGGCGACAGGCAGTCGAAATGTCAACGGAAGTTGTAACAACCACAACAATAACAGCGGCAACAGCAACAGTAACAACAACAGCAACATCAATGGCAACAACAACACTAACACAAACAAAAGTAATGGCAATGCCCAACAAACGCACGCATGCGGCCCGGGACCCCCAATGCAGAATCCGCACCAACACCTCCATCATCAACACCAACACCAACACCATCATCAGCAACAGCAACAGCAACAGCAACCAACCCAATCCCAACTTTGCACTCGCATTGCCTTGGGTGAATGCAGCCTGAACGGCTTGGCCACGTTTTCAGCCCCAAATACAACAACAACTCACACACCGCAAGCGCCTCAAGTGCCACACATGGTGGTCGGCATGGCTCCGCCCCCACCGCCCCCACCTTCCCTGCTGCTCAATCAATGCGCCTACTGTTGCCAACCCATTTGTGATCGCTACATCATGCGAGTGGTGGACAACTCCTTCCACGAGGGTTGCCTCAAGTGTGCCACCTGCTCCCTGCATTTGGTGCACACGTGCTATGCGCGCGATGGCAAGCTCTACTGTCGCATCGACTACGAAAGGTGAGTGTCGAATTAAGATCGAATTTTATTAAGTTATACCTGGATTTAAGTGGTTCATTTATTTATTTACAATAATGGCCTAAAATTAAGTTACTTTTCAACAATATCTTAAGCTGGAAAGAGAATATTTATTAGATATTCCCCCAACTTTATGCCCAGTTCCCAAAGGGAAATGTATGTAACTGGCAGAAGGAGGCGAGGCAGATACTACAAGTAGGCTTCAAACGCGATGAGTCGATATTCCATATCCGTATGTAAGTGTATCTTTCCGTCCATATGACCGAAGGACTTTTGAAGCCTAGCCCTTTAGTTGCTAGCAATATCTATTAGCAAGGCAAGTTAATAAGACACCATATACTTGTAGTCTATTTATTGCAACAGTCTTAGGACCGGGTAGTGTTAAAATCATTCTTAGTAGTAGAATAACTTTTATGAAGATATCTTTGCAGTTTGTAAAATGCTCTGAAGCTTTATGGATGCATTTTATCATATAGGATGGACACAGGGTATTTAAGTGTCGGTCAACTTAAGTATATATATATCGACAATAAATATATTATGCAAGAAAACTTATGATCGAAATGCTAACAAAATTACATTAATATCTATTAATTATTAATCATTAGAATAATTGTAGGAAAATTTCTTGAAAGTGACTGAACAATAGGAAAAAAAACATACTTCATTGCATTTTCTAAATATTTTGTAAAATACTATAATCCTACAAATATCATATAGACATGTAATATTTTGCAATCAACATATTTGGTACATACGTATTAATATATTTAAATAGTTTGTTTAAATTTAGTTCAAGTTTAACTACAATATATTCTATATAATATTTGATGTCTCACAATTGCAAGAGTTACAGTATCTCTGTTAAGTCTGCTTTATATTGTAACATTGTCTTCATAAACTAAAACATTAGAAGGAGAAACACTGACACATTATTCTGCTCGCCACTTACGAAATTATTGTAATTGTGGACTATTGTAGAAATAAAAAAGCTTAGAGTTTTTTAAGTAATTGAACGGAAAACAATTTTCAGATAAATAAGTAGCTTTTGTTATCTAAATAATTAATGAACCGTGTCGGGAAAGACTCCTTGTCCCTGTATAGTTTTGCTTCCCGAATCGTAAGAGTGTCTTTGTCATCGGTAACAGTAATACTGGTCTCATAGTCCCAATTAGTTCTATCAAAACCTTTTTGAATATAATAAGTGGAACGAGTGAGATACGTCGTTTTATCAGTCTTCTTCTTCAACTACGATGCAAAGAAGAATCTTCTACATTTCAGAAAATGCCCAGTATAGAATAGAAACCATATCATCGACCTTATTGGTAATGGGAGCTGCTTAAGCAAGTACCTAATCAATGCATTTTTAAAAGAGCTTCTTCTTAGGTTGTCGTAAAGACGCCGCTACCTTTGCTTTCCCAAATTAGAGTTCTTGATCGAGCTACGATATTGAAGGATTTACATTACTTATAATACTTATAGCTATCCAAAATGTTAAATCTAAAAGTACCATTTTTGTATATTGGTATGAATTTTTCAGGGAAGAACATGCTCACAACATGCAATTTCTTTAATGCCATTCATACTCATATCTTCCACAGACTCTACATTCGCAATCGTTGCCTTGGCTGTGGCCATAAAATTGCCGCCGATGAGCTCGTGATGCGCACCCACGACAATGTTTTCCATTTGAAATGCTTTGCCTGTGTCGTCTGTGGTGCGCTGCTTAAAAAGGGCGAACAGTATGTGGTAAAGCAGGGTCAGCTCTTCTGTCGGTTCGACTATGAGAAGGAGGTGGAAATGCTGCAGGGCTATGGTGAGTAAAATAAAAGCACAGCACGAAAATATTTTATTGAAATTACAACAAATCAAACATTGCTAGACTTCTATGGAGATGAGTTGTTTCCACCCAAGCTGGATGGAAGGCGAGGACCGAAAAGGCCTCGCACCATACTCAATACACAACAGCGACGCGCTTTTAAGGCGTCCTTTGAAGTATCGCCTAAGCCTTGTCGTAAAGTTAGAGAGAATCTGGCAAAGGAGACTGGTTTAAGCTTAAGAATTGTACAGGTGAGTGGAATACAGAAGAATTCGACAAGTGTTTATTTACTTGCACTTCATAACTCAAAGAAGCGACTAAGCATCAAAAAAAATAACATTTTTAACATTAAAGAAACTTTCTTACAAAATAAAAATAAAAACAAAATAAAAATAAATCCTACATACTTAATTATGCTCGAAAGTATTATCAAATAACAAACAATTTTGAGGTCTAAAAGTTATACAGATTTTGGATAATTTTTCAAATAGAACACTTCCTATAAATAGCTAATATTAAAAACATTTCCAAAATCTAAGAATCGTCCACCAGTCAGTTACTAATTCTGTACAACAATTTAATTAAGGTTTGGTTCCAAAACCAGCGCGCTAAAGTCAAAAAGATACAAAAGAAGGCCAAGCAGGAACCGGCCACTAAGGGAGTTTGCGATTCACAAGACTCCCAAGAGTCGCAGGATAGCAGTATGACAAAAATCAAAGACGAGGCACACAGCGACAGCGAATCGCAAATGGAGTCCCCCTTTTCCATAGGATCTGATGGTCTGGCCAAGTTGCGCTGCAGCATCAAGGATGAGCAGGAGCACGTGCCGTTTAGCTGCATGGAAACCAACAAAGGTAGATTACGGCTACACTGTCCTTAAAACGTAAATGCCAACTTATTTCAATCTCTCTTTTCGACAGAGAACTGCAACAAGAACAACGAGCCCATTCTAAATACCATTTTGGGTCTGAGCTATGCAACCTTTCAACAGCTAATGGGACCCTTTACGCAAACCCCAATGATCAACCCGATCGATCGATTATACAGCATGCAAAGCTCTTATTTCAGGCCCGAGGAACTCGGCGCCTATAGCGAATGTGGAGGCAAGGATACCATGGAGCATTAGATAGTGTGTGTGGGCAGACACGCATTTTAAACTAAAATCAAAATTAGACTTTGTAAAATAAAGAAAATGTTAAATTTACTAGCAACTAGAAACTAGTCATACACACGCACATACCACACTCGGGCTAGTGTCCAGTGTCAGTCGCATGTACACGTATGTATAAGATAGCTAAATAAAAACTTCTTGTGACAGACAAAAAGGTTCAGAGCTCGACACGTGCATCACCACCAATCGTACAACCACCGATTGCGAAACATTTCGTTGTTCTGCAGGTGCAGCTTTAAAATTTGTTCCACTCAGTTGACAGGCACAAAGAAATTGGACATGGCAGTCAGTCCGAAATGTTCCAAAATGGGCGTAAAATGTCAATTTGTCATGCACTGTTCAATGGGCGACGACAACGATGACAGCGTTAAAATGTCGCGCAAGTGCAACTGTGTCGGGCGACCCCTGCTTCGGCCCCGGATCGGTATGGTCTGGCCATTCTGAATGCACAAGGGCTGCCAATGGCAGCTATTTGTGGCATGCAGCACCAGAGGAGGAATCAAACGACGGACTAAAATTATAGCCCCAAGCATATGTGTATGCTGGAATTTTAAAGCTTGGCAAGTACTTTTTAGGGCATAACAGGAATCGTTAATAAATATAATAGCAGAGTTACAATATTTATAGAATAAAAACTCTTTTGCGAAGCTATAACTAGCACGAATTCAAGAAATAAAGTCCACATGTTGTTAGATATATATTCTTTTATTCAATTTTTTTGAAATTGGTAATATTTCAAAATTAAAAGAGATATTTATGGTAACAATTCATTGCAAAAAAAAAACCTTTAAAAATCTATTTGAATCCACGGTCACATCTGCATTTCTCCTACAATTCGTAAATTAATGGAACCTATTTGTTTCAGGGAGAACATGACTTAATCGATTCGTTCTATACGTTACACTTTTTCCAAACAATATTCATAAAGTATATCCAAACCTCTCTACTAATTTTATAGAACACGACTACGAGGAAACCTGTTTCTTTATTTCGTCTATGATGAAAATTATATAATTAGAAGAAGCTGTGTATACGAAACGCAAAAATCGGTTAGAACAAGAGGCGCAACAAACTTCTCCAAAGTCCTATGATGCTGAATCGCAGAAGTCTCACCAAATGCTATAGTTTCCTTCTTTTAGAGCATAATTATCCTCCGAGGAGTTTCATAGGACTTCTACTTTAAAGAACTAAGAGTCAACAGTGATGTCCAATTGTGCACTGCAGTGGTCAAGTTTTAAAAACCGATGAAAAAATACGCTAGTATATCAAGGCAAACAAAACTATCGAGATGGGCAAATAGGTGCAAGTCTTTAATACCTTCTACCCATTTCCACATCCTGTGCATCGATTAGTGTCTTTGCATGTCTATGCATGTCTATGAGTGCTGTATTTAGTTCAACCCTAGGAGCAACAACGGCAACAGCTGTTGGCAATGATTTAAATTTAAGCTTATCGAAAAATGTAATCAAACTGCTTATGATTATTACAAGTATTTTCCATTTTATTTAAAGTTGCAAAATTCGAAAGACGAAATTTTGTACAAAAATTAGCTGTTGAATTCAAAAATCCGAGGATATTAAATTTAATTGGAACTATTGGAATAATACAAGTTTCAGAGATAATAGACAATAACAAAAATTTATTAAAAATTATTCAATTGGTCATCCAATTAATTTGATCTATATTTTAAAAAAAAATGTAGAGCATTACTAAATTGAACAAGAAAAATATTAAATTTCACAAAGGTTAGCTCGAATTTATAGGAACTTATTTTGTTATTGAATTAAAAAGAACAAATATCAAACACATTTTAACTGGCCTTTGAAAAATGTTTTTAGTTGTGCTCTCATTTAAATTATATTATTTATAAGCACAAATTTATCACCTTTATTTTAAACTCAAATCTATTTGAGAAAAGCTTTCGTTAAAGTCTCCTGCGGAATTTAGAGGTTACATTATGAGGCAGTGCGACCACTGTTTTAATTTCCTTTACCGCCCTCAGACAAACATCCTTTCAACCTTTCGAACCCATTGCAGGCTTTAATTGAATCAGCCCGCGCGACCCAACACTTGTTTGAACAGTTGACAAACACTGCAGTTAGCATGCAAACTAGTCGGTCCAGCCCTCCTGCAACCTCACAACCCCCGAAGCCGCAACGCATTTTTATGCAATTTGTCACAATATGTGTCACATTAGCCACAGCAATTGTGCTTAAACGTCCTCCCCCTCCTCCTCCTCGTCATCGTCATCGTCGTCTTCGTCGTCGTCATCATCAGTGCCGCTAACCAGATTATACCCCAATTGCGACACCGATACGAGAGAGGGTGGTCGCAAAAGTAGTTAAACAAAAGGCACACACACACACAGACACACACACGCACTCACATAGTACAATTGAGCATATAGACACCACCATGGAATCTGCAGGCGAGCAAACCACCCCGGACTCAGACAGGGGCTGCATTGTCGAGACAGAGGCGCATGTAAGTCATTTCTGTAGCACGCTTTGACTGTAGAACGCATATAAAAAAAATTGGCTGAAGGGGCACCAAACCAACGTCATTAATCAAACGCCGCAATGGCCAAACAAGTGCAGGATGCTCTGCTCCTACTTCTCACTGATAAAAGGCAGTGCACAAAGGCACCGCAAGTCCTGTGCGCCACTTGTTTGTGCCAATGTTGCGCTCCATTTTTCCATTTTTCCATTTTTTTTATACTTTACTTCACCCGCTGCTTTCAACTTTGCGCTACTTTCTGAGTGACATTTCAACGTGCAGTGGAAACTAAAAAGAAAAATGAAAAAGTTTGCCACGTCGTTGCACGTCGTTTGTCGTTTGTACAACGTCCTTGGTCCATGTTGCGCTCAACGCTCGTAAATGTGTAAATTACGTAATTAATTACCGTTATATTGGCGCGTAGCATTTAAATGCACATCACGGCTGCGCCTTTGCCTGCTTGCCTACTTGCCTCCTTGCCTCCTTGCCAGCCACCCTGCCTCTATACCTAGCCAGAAGTCCTGGCCACTGCCAACACTTGGCCAGGAAAACGAATGGCAATCGTGTGGTGGGCATGGAATGGAAAAAAGCTAAATGGCCGGCAAAAGTCAACGATGGAAACTTTTTACTGCGATTTTTGCCACGCTTTCGTTTAGTGTTATTGCGTGTGTGTGTGAGAGAGAGTTTTGAAGGTATGTTAATGTTAGCGTTGTGTTGCAAAGTGTTTTTAGTGCCGATAATGTGATAAATATCCGCCAAGTCCAAGTCTGCTATTTAACATTTGAGCTGTAGATACTTTATAGCTCAGACTAGAGCAATAAATTATATATTCATCAAAACTTAAGCTTTACAATTTATAGAAAGAAATCGAATTACAGAAAATAATTTAACAGAAGTAATCAGAATCAGAATAATAATCAGAAGTAATCTAAAAAAAAAACCCCTCCTTATCGGAGGGATGTGTGCTTGTGGAGGGTAAATAGTTTTCCTTAGTTCTTAAGAAAAGTGATATAAGTTAAGCTTCTCCTTGTTACACATTAATGCATATTTTAATAAATTAATTAAATTAAAATTAAGGCCATTAAGTTGCAAAATATTCTTATATGTTTTGAAGACTTCACGATGATTTTTGAACATAAAAATAACAGAACATAAAAATGTACGATTTACTTAAAATTATAATTTTGATTTTCGTTAACCACTTAATTTTTATAGGAATCTAAAAAATTGGTGGAATGCGCTGATAAGCTTATAATTCTCATTTAAAAGAATGTGCATTACATTTTAACTGAAAAGCAATGATTCTTTGCAATGTCGGTATGCTTAATAATATTATTATTATTCCAGTATTCGTTGGCTTCGACAAATTGAAATAAATATCCATCGTGATGCTTAATAGAATACATTTATATTCTATACATTCATAATTCATTGATTGGATTGCTACCTGAATGAGTCCCCTTTTATAATAGTCGTATAAAAATCTATCAATTGTTTGCAAAGTCAATTCATCATAAGTACATTCAGAAGTGAAAAAATCAAACAAGCCCGACAGTGAAATACCCTATACTCAAACAAACTATACAGAACCAAAATGAAGAAAAACAACGAACCCGGTGCTGTAGTTCGGTATCCTAATTCTAGTTGTTACGCTAATAACTTGTCTAAGAGAAATTATAGAATTGCAAATTAATAATGTATGAAACATTCTTACCGTTCCAAGGTATAAAAAGAATTGTTCCAAAATAATCGTTGACAACTAAAATTTTAAAGTTTTTTAGCCTACACAAATCATCTGTTCTAAATGTAATCCACTCATGGATTAATTGCAAAGGAAATACTTACTACACCTTTTGAAAACTAAAGAATAAAAATGAACAAAATTGGCAGTAATAGATTTAATATTCGTTATATATTTCAAAACCTTGTTGTTTTTTAAATATTTTTTTATCAAATCTGTTTCCGTTCGGTACTTTTCTTTATTATACTACGAGTACACGATCTCGATTTCGATTTCAACGAAAAAGTTTCACAATTTAACTTTTTGCGGCCTAATTTTAAAGTCATTTTGCAATATTTTTTATTATTCAAACGAATACTAAGTACGTTATGCAAATGCTGTCGTTAGGCCTCTCGGTAAACCCACAACAAATTGCACTTTGATTTTTATGCACATATCAACGGATACTGAAATATTGTTAGCCTTTCAAAAACAAATCAGCATTGAAAATATCGTTGACAAGGAATTACTTTCTGATATTGTTTTAATACTATACAGTCACGCGCACTTTTTCGCACAATAAAAATCAAAAATCAATTGCATATTGTCCATAAAAACAATACAATCAAAACAATTCGCATAAAAGCACAAGTTAATGTATAAACAAAGGCTGCTATGGGGTGCTAAGGGGTAGGCACTTATGTAAACAATGCGAAATTTTGGGAAATAAATGGGAAAATGATTTTATTTTTCCAAGGCGCGTGTGCAGTTAACAGTAAAGTGGTTGAGCTGAGTAGCTGCTGGAAAAATTAGGGTAATCGGCGCAAATTTTTTGGAGTTGATGCAAACGCGTGCGGAAGTGACAAAAGTTAATATTTACTCAGGTAC